GTTAGGGAATGGTAATACCAGGACTGGTTTACCAAACTAGTCTTTAAAAGGACAAAGGCTGTTAGAACCTGGTCCCTCCTCAGTCGAAAATGGAGGCAGTGGACAGTCAGGCCAACAAAACCTTCCCCTTTTGCCTGCTCATTCCTTGCTCTCTGGGCCTCAAGTCTTCAGGAGGACCTCTAAATATCTGAAGTGAGAACTGAACTGAACTGAGGAGTCCCTTTTATGGGGATTCTCTAGGGTTAGGTGTTTTTTTTTTTTTTTTTTTTTTTTTTTTTTGGTTTGTGTAGTAGAGAAATACCAGCTCACAAGAGTAGCTAAATATTCAGGATTAATGACCCATTTAATCATTGGTAGCCAGCCTGAAATCCATCATGATGGGAGTTTTACACCGTAGAAATTGGCAAACACCACCAGAAATCAGGAATTTTTTTTCTTTTTTCTTTTTCCTGGAAAGCCGGTTTGCCAGCACACCACTGTATAAAACACACATACAGAAATATGCACAGATCATTACCGTACAGCTGAACCTTCACAAACCCAGCACACTCAGATCAAGAAATACATCATGAGCTGCAGCTACAACTCCTGCCACGTGCTCTTCCAGGCCCTACGCCATGCCCAGCTCAGCCACTGTCTTGACATTTGTCACTATAAATTGGCTTTTCTAGGTGTTGACCTTTATATGTTTAGAATCATACAGAATGTTCTCTTTTGATCTGGCTTCTTTTGCTCAATATTCTGTCATGAGATTCAATGACAATATTGCATATAACTGTAGATCACTTAGTCTCATCACAGTGTGTGTACTGACATATTGGAATGTATAATATTCCATTGTGTTGATATACCACAAATAACTTATCCACTCTACTTTAATGGACATCTGAGTACTCTTCAGAGTTGGGCAATGAATAGTGAACGTTCTAGTAGAATGCTGTCCAACAGAGCTTTCTGCAATAATGAAAATGTTCTATATCTTCACTGCCCAGTGATAGCCACTAGCCACTTGCAGCTACTGAGCCCTTGAAATGTAGCTAGTGCAACTGAGGACTAAATTCCTTAACTGAAGTACAGCTGATTTACAATACAGTTAGTTTCAGGTGTACGGCATAGTGATTCAGTATTTTTGCAGATTATACTCCCTTATAGGTTATTACAAGATAATGGGTACAATTCCCTTTGTTATACAGTATATCCTTGTTGCTTATCTATTTTATGTATGGTAGTTTGTATCTATTAATCCCACATCCCTAATTTGTTCCTTCCTTCTCCCCTTTGGTAACCATAAGTTTGTTCTCTATATCTGTGAGTCTATTTCTATGTTGTATATACATTCATTTGTATCATTTTTAAGATTCTACATATAAGTGATCTCATATAGTATTTACCTTCCTTGTCTTAATTCTCTAATACTCTCTAGGCCCATCCATGTTGCCACAAGTGGCATTATTTCATTCTTTTTTATAGCATAACAGTATTCCATTCCATACATACATACATACATATAAAATCATACCTTTTTAATCAAATTGTCTGTTGATGGACACTTGGGTTGTTTCCAAACCTTGATAACAGTGAATAGTGCTGCTATGAACATTGTGGGGGATTCCCTGATAGCTCATTTAGGAAAGAATCCGCCTGCAATGCAGGAGACCCCGGTTCAATTCCTGGGTTGGGAAGATCCACTGGAGAAAGGATAGGCTACCTACTCCAGTATTCTTGGGCTTCCCTTGTGGCTCAGCTGGTAAAGAATCTGCCTGCAATGTGGGAGACCTGGGTTCAATCCCTGGGTTGGGAAGATCCCCTAGAGAAGGGAAAGGCTATTCTGGCCTAGAGATATCCATGGACTCTATAGTCCATGGGGTCTTTGGGGTGCACGTATCTCTTATAATTAGTGTTTTCATTTTCCTTGGATATATACCTTGAAATGGAATCATATGGTAGTTTTGTGGTTTTTTTTGCTGTATCATATGGTAGTTTTATTTGTAGTTTCTTAAGGACTCTCCATACTGTTTTCCACAGTGCCTGCACCAATTTACATGCCCACCAACACTGAACTAGAGTTCCCTTTTCTCCAAATCCTGTCAGGTATTAGTTATTTGTGTTTCCTTTTGATGATAGCCATTCTGACAAGTGTGAGGTGATACTTCATTGTGGTTTTGATCTGCATTTCTCTAATAATTAGCAATGTGGAGCATCTTTTCATGTGCCTGTTAGCCATCTGTATGTCTTCTTTGGATAAATGTATATTCAAGCCTTCTGACCATTTTTTTATTGTTTTTTTATATTGAGCTATATGAGCTGTTTATATATTTTGAACATTAATCCCTTTTTGGTCTCATCATTTGCAAATGTTTTCTCCCATTCTGTAGGCTGTTTTTTCGTTTGGTTGATGGCTTCTTTTGCTGTTCAAAAGCTTTTAAGTTTAATTAGGTCCCATTTGTTTATTTTTGCTTCTATTTCTTTTGCTTTAGGAGACTGAGCCAAGGAAATATTGCTACAATTTATGTCAAAAAGTGTTCTGCCTGTGTTCTCTTCCAGGAGTTTTATGGTTTCAGGTCTTACCTTTAGATCTTTAAACCCTTTTAAAATTTATTTTTGTATACAGTGTGAAGGAATGTTCTAATCTCATTGTTTTACCAGAAACTGTCCAGTTTTCCCAGCACCACTTGTTGAAGAGACTGTCTCTTCTCCATTGTATATTCTTGCATCCTTTGTCATAGATCAATTGACCATAGGTGTGGGGGTTTATTTCTAGGTTCTCTATTCTGTTTCATGGATCTATGTATCTGTTTCTATCCCAATACCATACTACTTTGCTTATTATAACTTTGGAGGATAGTCTGAATTTGGTAGTTACACTTCCAGCTTTGCTCGTTTTTTGTTTACTGGAGTATAACTGATTCACAGTGTCCTGTTACCTTCAGGTGTACAGTAAGGTGATTCAATTATACATATATACTCATTCTTTTTTCAGACTCTTCTCATATAGATTATCCCAGAACACTAACTAGAGTTCCCTGTGCTATACAGTAGGTCCTTGTCAGTCATCTATCTTATGTATAGTACTGTGTGCGCTGCCAGCTTCGTTCTTTTTCCTCAGGACTGTTTTCGAAATTTGGGGTCTTTTGTGGTTCCATAAAAATATTATGATTATTATTTGTTCTAGTTCTACAAAAAAAAATATCATGGCTATTTTGGTATGGAATATACTAAATCTGTAGATTGCTTTGGATACTATGGCATTTTAATAATATTATTTCTTCCAATCTAGGAGCATAGGACATCTTTCAGTTTCTTTGAATCATCTCCAATTTTGAGGAATTAAATTTTTAATTTAATTTTCATTAATTTAAGCAGCTACATGTGGCTAGTGATCATCATATTGGACAGCACTGTTCTAGTATGTGGCTTCTGGTGAACATATTGATGCATTTCTGTTGGAGGATTCATTCTGCCCAGGAGTGGAATTTCTGGGTTATAGGACATCCATATGGTTGGCTTTAATAGATAGGGCTAAAACAGTTTTCCAGAAGGGCAGTACCAGTCCACTCTCCTGTAATCAATATATGAGAGTTCTAGTTGCCCTCCATCCTCACCAGTGCTTGCTCTGAATTTTTTCACTTCAGCCATTCTGGAAGATAGTAGAAATATCACCTTGTGGTTTTTACTGGAGTTTCTCTAGTTATTAAGTACAGTGTACTAGCACCCTGGATATACTCTTTTGTGAAGTGATTACTTAAGCCTTTTGCCCACTTTTTTTCAATTGGGCCTTTTTAGTATTAATTTCTAGGAGGTCTTTATATATTCTGAATACCAGACCTGTGTTGGATATATTATTGCAAAAATCTTCTACCTCTTTGTGGACTGCTTTATTTTTTTAAGATTTTTTTAACATGAGCCATTTTTAAAGTCTTTATTGAATGTGTTACTATATTCCTTCTGTTTTATGTTTATAGTGTTTTTGGCTGAGAAGCATGTGGGATCTTATCTCCCCAACCAGGGATCAAACCCGCACCCCCAGCATTGGAAGGCAAAGTCACAGCCACTGGACCGCCAGGAACGTCCCTGGATGCTTTACTGACTCTTATAACCATGCCTTTGCATTCAAAGATATTCTCAAATTTTTATGGAGAGAGTATTTATCAAGTCTTACATATAACTGTTTGCTTTATTCATATTTAACTTTAAAATTTACAGAAAATAAAATGATATGGAGCATACAGTTAGGGGATACCCTCTTGGACTTCTTAGGAGCAGAGGATCCTGTTGATGCACTTCAAAGAATATGTTTTTATAAATGTGAAAGCCAAGGTGGGCACCTTTTTAAGTTGGATGGCAGTCTTATTAAAGAGTTTTTGTCAATTATTGAAATTTTAGGTGTTAGGTTAAATGAAATTTAAAGAGACTGCTTGTGAAATAACTTAAACTTTTTAAATTTTTTCTTATTTTTTCCAAGATACAAAAGTACCTCTAACACTAAAATAATGACTATGATCCCAACAGTTTAAGGACAATTACAGTACATGCGACTGTATACTTACACAGTATGTCACCAACACTCTCTAAACAATAAGAACAGTCGCACTGGGGCACGGCTCTCACGTTATCCTTGCCAGAGAGCACAATGATCAATTACACCTGAGCGATGCTAGCACGCTAGCCATATCTACCAAGCGTAAAATCCAATTATCTAGAACAACATGACTATCAAATTCCCAGCCAGTATGGAATTTCTGAGTCTGTATATTCAGAAACCTATGGAGTGCTCCTTAAATTCTTTTAAAATAGGAACTATACTGAGCATTAAAAACACTGAACTAAATAGTTCAATCAGCATAGTGGCTGAAATTCAGTGTCTGATTTAACAAATGTTTACCTATCATTTCAAAATCAATTTCTGCTCAATCCTAGCACAGCCAGCACTTCTGCAGTGGCATTTATTTTTCAGTGCTCAAGAATGAAAGGCCCAGCTATACACCATAGTCTCATTACAGGAGCCATGGGGAAGGCAAGCCCATGGAACACACACAAGAGGAGAAAGACATGCCCAGCATCATCCCTTTGTTCAACGCTGGCTTTGATTTAGAGGAGAGGAGAACACAAAAACATATCATAAAAACTGAACGAGGATCATGTTTAGTAGGTAAGAAACTAAACTGTTTCCAAGTTTAGTAGGTAATCAAGAGTTATACTTCTGCTGCAAAAATCTTTACAGGATTGGAAGTACTAAAGTGACACTAATACTGAAACACAGGTAATCAGAGGTAGCCAAAGGCACTGGCGATATGAGTCATCATCAAAAGACAGCCCGGGTAAATATCACACATTTCCTGTCAGCTGCTGCAAAGACTTGCATTTTTCAAACTGAAAAGGAATACTGTGGGGCTTTTTACTTATCACTTACTGGAAGAAAGGCTGTTTTAGGCCCCCTCATTGAACATGAGACCAAGGTTTCCAAATGAGTTTTCCTCTATCATCACAAGCTGCATCATACTCAGTTACTACTGTTTGACATTGAACTGCTATATGTGATAGTGTAGCTACTCTCTTGAGTATGCCACAAAGAACTATTAGAGTGAAAGAGCTAATTGTGCAAAAATGTAGGATCCCATAAGAATGTGAAGAAGCCTTCTATGTCTTGGAAACTATTATCTGGTTCCAGACACCTGCACAGACAGGTTCCTCCCTGAGAAGCATTCGCCAGTGTCCCAGGGCAAGTTACAAATTATTTAGAAACTTTTCAAAATCTTCCCCTTGCTCTAGCCATGTCCTTGATCCTGTTCCCATCTCAGTCCCCATGCCCCTTGCCCACTCTGAAGCCCAAACTCCCACCAAAGATCTTTACTTTAATATAGTACAACTTACCCGTTATTTCATAGTCAGTATTAATACCTTTGTATCCTGTTTAAGAAATCCAAAGTCATAAAGATGTTCTATAGTGCCCTCCTATTGAAGCTTTACTGTTTTGCCTTTCATATTTAGTACTATGTCCAGGGAATGTTTTGTTAAGATTTTAAGGTTTGTCATATATTGAGCACCTACTGTGTTCCAAGCATCCTGCTAAGCAGTGTGCTTTAATTAACTCAAAGAATTGCTGTTCCCACTTTGCAGTTGAAGTGCTAGAAGCTCAGAGGGGTAAACTTCCCAGAGACCACCTGCAAGAGGCAGGGCCAAGATCTGAACCCAGGACTCTGACTTGGCAAGATCCGAGGACCAGATGCATGTCAGCTTTGGTGAAGGAACTCTGGGGTTTCCCCCCACACCACCACTGCCCTGAGGAAGATGACTGAGGAGTGACCCTTCTCCCAGAGGACACTAGGGCCATTCACCTCAGACACTGAATGCTGGTGAATAAAAGGCATTAGGACTGGGGCTGGGGTGCCCCAGCTCAGGACTACAAAGCAACCTTGGGGACTGGGGGAATTCAGGACTTCTCCACAAACACTCCATGTTTTTATAAATCTACGTTCCATGAAACCACACGCTGAGAAACTACTCCAAAGCTCCAGGTTCAGTGTGATGGTGTCAGCCATTTGAGATCATTTGTATCTATTGTGGCCAAGAAGTATCTATCTTTGCCTGGTCTAGTAGTTTTTCTCATTCTACCTACTGAAGTGACATGTTATGTTAATAGATTTCGTGGTCTTAAACCATTCTTGCATTCCTGGAATAAGTCTTTTCTCCTCAAAATGTATTATTTTTAGTACACTGCTGCCCTGGTGGCTTCCCACATGCCCTTGTAAATTCTAGGAGTTGAGGGAACTACTGTGGAGCAGGAGACAAAGTCCCATGATATGTTCCAGAATCAGAACCCACTAAAACAAAGGGCCAGAACAAAACCAGGGATGAGAGTACTTGGGGTGGGGGCTCAGCCATTGTGGCCCAAAAACACATCTCTAGGCTGGCCCAGCTTGTGGGACAGTTGATAATTTGAAACATTCATGAATTTAACATTTTATATATCAATTATTCATTAACTTCCTGGAAAGACCACATTGCAGTAAATGGTCATTTTCTGAAGCCACGATTTTGAGACTCATAATGCAAATGAGAGGGAAATGGCAACCCACTCCAATATTTTTGCCTGGAGAATCCCATGGAGAGAGGAGCATGGCCAGCTACAGTCCATGGGGTCGCAAAGAGTCGGACACGACTAAGCACAGCACAATGCAAATGGGGATGTGATAGCTAATTCCCTAGCTGATGGATGGGCCAAGCCAGCCCCCAGCTCCCATCCAGCTGCTTCTCCACACAGTTCCCCTATTTCCTACACATCAAGCAGGCACAGTGACTGCTGGTGTTATAAAAGCCTGTGTCCTCCATGGAAAACAGCCAAAAAGCCAACTCTAGGTGATGATGGAAGAGTAGAGAGTTCTGGGCCACTGATGACTCTAGCAAGAAAATGGGAGATTGGTGGTGTGGCTTCAAGTTGAAAGTCTCATTCTGCTGTGGTTTGATTTTGTAATGTCAGCCAGTTCACCACTTCCTCTGCAGAAACAGGGAAAAGTGGTCTGTGATACTGTTTCAGTGAGTTTTCCAGCCAACAAATAAATTGTTCACCAAACTGGAGATAAAACCTTAGTGAATGATGACAGGACGGTAAGCTATGGAGTCTGGATACGTAGAAGTACATGTGAGTTAATTTTGGTGAGTTGATTTAAGTGGCAGAATCTATCTTAATAGTGGAAGAAATCATTTTCATCTTATATTTATAGAATCATGAAGGGCCTGTGGGTGGTCACTTTTATTTTTCCAGTTATATTTTAATGCAGTAGCTAAAAGCCTTCTACTTGGCAGTGGCACACTCTCCTATTAACTCTGATGTATAAACAGAGGGAAGCAGGGCTACTCTGCATAACATGAGAACAGAGAACTCCATGATGTACCAAGACTCTCCCCTGAGCACTGGGGTATTTGAGAGGTTCATTTTAGCTGATTCACATACATGTTCCTAGTGCCTAGCATGTATCCAGGCACAGAGCACTTAGTGAGTACTGGTGGGTAGATGGATGGGTGGGTGGATGGATGATTGAATATATGGATGGATGCATGGATGATCAAGTGGATCCTGAGTAGATGCCTAGGTACATAAATACATGGGAGGGTGGATAATCAGTTGGTTGAGTGAATTAATGGATGGGGGGTGATTAATAGGTGGATGACTTCACAATCTAATCCTCAGTTTCCACTATAACCTACCCTACTTGTAATGTCCCAAACAGCCAAGAAAAATACATCAGGGCCTTGACATCTTGCAGAGATACATTTCGTTGTAAGAAGAATCCTAAACACTAAGCAACCGTTTCCTCACCCTCATAATCCCAATGTTCATGTGACATCCCACAGCCTCACCCCAGGAGCACCTCCTCCTTTCCTGAGCTCTTTTGCAACCTCACCCTTCTGTACTCCTGCCCAGGCCCCTTCCTCCCTCCCCTGCTCTTGTTCTGCTGGTTCATCCTGCAAGACCCAGCCCCTGTGTGGATGTTCCTGACCTGCCCCCAATGCCCTAACATCTCTCCCTCACAGTCTCCTGGTGACAAGAGAATAGGTATCGCCAAGTGGGCTGAGAAGTTGCCCCAAAAAAGAAGGGGATAGGACTCAGAAGCGCCCAAGTGTAATGAGCCTGCCCTGCCATGTCCCCTACCCTAGTCCCAGCTGGGAGGCTGGGACCAGCCATTGGTGAGCAAAGAAAAGAGAGTGCCCGAATCCTCTTCCCCAGATTTTCTCCAATGACTTCACAGCCTCCCCCTGGTGGCTTCAGCAATGGAGAAAGAGGTGCACTGCTGAGGCCAGACTTAGAGAAATGGACCTATGACAAATCCATTCAGAATTTTTTGTGACAGGGACCAGCAGTCAGATCTCTGTCCGTGGCCCCCTTCTTCCTCCAGCCAGCATCTCTGAAGATATGGGCAGGCCTGGAGAACTAAAGACGGTGGCTCAGCACCTTCGGTGTCTCGGTGCCCTTCCTTTGCCAGTGGTCCTAGGTGGCTTCAGGCTGCAAAGAGCAATCTTCTGATCTAACTGCCTCCCCCATTGCATTCACCGGGCTCCCACCTCCTCCCTACGGCTTACCCACCCTTCAGGAAGAACGATTCAAGACCCAAGAATAAACATCTTTCAGACAAACAGCAGGTCCAGTGAGGGCAGAGAACATGCCCAAGGTCACACAGACAGTGAGTGGCAGAACCAGGAATGTAGCCCAGTTCTCCCACCTCCGCCTCTGCCGTAGGCCACTAGTTCATGGAGTATCGGACATACCCAGGTTCAAATCCTAGCTCTGCCTCAAAACCAGGTGGACAAACCAGCCCACCAAGATTCAGTGTCCTGTAAATGGGACTGGCTAGGGTTTCACACAGAGAGGAGGCAAGCGCCAAACCCGGCCCCAAGCCCAGCCCGGGGTCATTGAGGGCCTAACTCACCTGTGGTTCCCAGCTGCAGCCTGGAGCAGAAGTCCGGAGGCGCAAGCGCAGGCTTCTGCCTGGCCTGGCGGCGGCGCACAGACCCAGGCACCATGCCAGCCCCGACAGGGGCCTCAGGACCCCATGCGCAGAGTGGGGAGAGCACCAGGGCTGGGTGTGCGGCGTGCTCACAGGACTTCCGCTTGGCGCGGTGGAAGAACTCTCTCAGGAACAGCTCACCGTCAAGAGCTTTCAGTTGAGCCTGGCTCCACTCACAGCCCGGGAGCCGGGGCCTCAGCCTCCACCAAGCTCCACGCACGCTCCACGCTCGCCCACTCACGTTCTACGCTCCACCCACGCCCCACGCTCCACTTACACGCCACGCACGCCCCACGCTCTCCCTCTCACGCTCCACGCACGCCACACGCTCCACGCACGCCCTTCGCTCTACGCACGGCTCCACCCTCGCTCCACGCTCACTTGGAGCCTGGCAGCAGCCTTCGTGTGTTTATGGTATATCCCTTTCTTGGGAAGATTCCTTGGAGAAGGAAATGGCAACCCACTCCAGTACTCTTTCCTGGAGAATTCCATGGACAGAGGTGGCAAAGAGCCACAATTGAGCGACTAACATACACATACACTATCCCTTTCCTCAGCCAGAAGGCGCCCCTAAAACACTTGGACCAGGCCCCTCGAAGTCTCCTCTTTGCCACTGAGATAAAGGACAGCCTTTTTCTTTAATTTAGATGTGCTTGGTCTTAGTTGCCGCACTTGGAATCTTTAGTTGTGTTATCTGGGATCTAATTCCTGACCAGGGATGGATTCTGGGCCCCTGCATTGGGAACATGGAGTCTTAACTACTGGACAACCGGGAAAACCCAAGAACGGTCTCTTGACTTTCTAGATCCTCTAATAGTGGGCCCCTGCCAGCCCCTCAAAACTTAGCAGTGTTTGTGCTGAGTCGTGTCTGACTCTGCGACACCATGAACTGTAGCCCACCAGGCTTCCCTGTCCATGGGATTTTCCAGGCAAGAATACTGGAGTGGGTTGCCATTTCCTTCTCCAGGGCATCTTCCTTATGCTTAGTTTAGCTAAACATGACATGCAATGTTTAGCTGTTGATATACTTTCACCCTGAATAAGACTTAGGTCATGGTCTACGTTGCTACATATAAGGTGGCCAGGAGGAAGCAAAGCTTCATTTTAGGGAGAGGAAAATTTCACTTTAGCAAGATCCCGAAAACATGAGTTCTGTCGCACAGTGCCTGTTAGCCACAGCCTCACATCTTGCCTAAGAGCACAGGGCTTTGGCTGCCCACTGACTTGGGTCCCTCTTCGTGGGCTGTGTGACATTGGACAAATCACTTAACCTTTCTGAGATCCAGTTTCTCTACCTGTTAATTGGAGTTCCCGTCATGGGCCATCATAAGAATTAAATCAAATAGTACATGAAAAGTACCAAGCATGGTGCAGGACACACAGTAGGTGTTCAGCAGAAGTTAGCTAGTCATGCTAGTGTGTGGCGGAAGGGCCACATCTCAGGGTACTATTTCCTCCTGGTCATCAGCACCTTTGTAGAGGCTACTCGGAAAGAAAATCTAGGCTAGAGGCAAACCTAGCCTCATTCTCTATCCTTGTCGCAGCAGGTACGGGGGACAGGGAGGCAGAGCGGTGGGAAGGGGTGTTAGCATCATGTCATTTTTTCTGCAGTCATTTTTATCTTCTTGATGAAGTGGACCCTGCATTTGAAAATTGGAAGAATTTCCCTCATAATTTAAAGCAGCGCCTACCTCTGCCGGTCACAGTGACTGGAAGATTAATTTCTCACCAGCCATACAGGCGGATGCCTGCCCAAACTGGCTTCATATGCAGGCGCGGGTGTTGCCATCTCCACGCCTGGCTGGTAATGAGCCCAGCACTGCCAAGAGGGTGAGGCTCCCCTTAGCAGCTGAAGCAGGTGGCAGGCAAGTCATCTTCAAGGTGACCCCATGGGACTGGCACCTCGGCAGAAGGTACTGCATGCTGAGCAGGGTGGGCATGCACACACATATATCCTGCCCTAGGTTTTTATTCTGGGTACCCACAACCTTGCCTTGGCCAGCTTTTTAGTAGCCCATCTGCCTTGGATCATGGGGTGGCCAGTGTGTCCCAAGCCATCCCAGCAGCTGGGACATACTGAACCAGTCAAGAGCAGTGTGGACCCCATACACTCCTGTGCTCCCCAAGGAGGACTGCCTATCTCTGACATTCCCAAGTCCTGCCATTGGCTTCTAAGAGGAGAGGACACATGGTGATGGGAAGATGGTGACATTGATTGGATGGCCAATTGGCTTGTGCTTTATTAGAGAGAATATGGTAGCAGAGTGGCCACAGGTTCAGGTCTAATCCAAGCCAAAGCCTGGTCATTGGCTCAGGAGTGGCAGTACTGTGGACTGGATGAGTGGTGGCCACAAGGTTCGTTTCATGACCCAGGTAATCACTGTGTGAAGTGCTATGTTGAAACGGATGTTTAAAAAAAAAGGAAAGGATGCTGAGGCTGGCTCCTGGGCCAAACAGAAAGAGAATGGTTATCAAGTAGTCATATACTGGCTATATGACTGTGGTGGGTCATTTAATATTTTCGAGCCTCAGTATCCTCACCTCTAAAATGGGGAGAACATAGCTTCAGGGATGAAGTGAGCTCTTTAAACAGAGCCTATACATAGCAGGGGCTCTCAAAACAGTG